AGTACTGAAAAATGTGTGGAATATCATTTAGGTAGATCTTAAATAACCTGAGGCTTCTTCTTAAAAAGGACTTTTGAAACTAGCCAACTTACCTCCCTGATCCATTTTCTTCATCCCCAAATCTCTATAATGACTCTTTGTGTTTGATTTTCTGTTGAAGTGGTGGATCTGGCCATGGTTCCTCTTCCTCTGTCTGCTGCACAAAACCAACAACTTCATTTCCTAGCCCATGAAGCAATTCCAGACTATTCATGTTTTCTAAAGGCTTTCACAGCTAACACGTGATAAGGCAAAGCCTTATCCTGAACCAACCTGAAAACCATCCTCTGCTATATTGGCATTTAATCACTAAAGTGAGGGTGAAGCATAGTTGCCCCCCCCACCCCCCCCAAAGCATAGTCTTGAGAAGTAATGTGAATGACTAGAAGGGTAAAGATAGAAGTCAGCCAACCAATGTGTGGAATAACAAAAACAAAAACCTAAAAGCCCTACTCATGGATTCTCAGACTGTACATCTTTATGGGAGCAGATAACCTCAACTTTCTCTCATAGAGTACCACCAGGGCCGTAATAGGAAAGTCCCTTAAAATTTCATTGGCCACAATAAGGAATCAGGATGGAGCATTTTACCTGTGTTCCTCCTTCTATTGGTCAACACTATTTTTCCTGCTATGTAGCCTACCTTGAAAGGTTTAGAGTCGGGTCAGAAGGGTAGAGTAGGGTAAGAAGCCCATGGTTTTGCTGGACGGAACGGAGGTGGGAGATGGAAGGGAACTGCAGGCTGCTGCAAAGAAGGAAAGAAGCCAAAGAATAGAAGGAATGTCCAAGTGGTGGCTGTTGCTTCTTTTGGCTTAAGGTTAAATAAACTAGCCCCCAATAAAATGATTGAAAATAAATAAATAAATAAATAAATAAACGCTGGCACTGCCTGCATTTTTATATGAAGACTTTCATTTTGTTACCCTTAAATACAGGTTGTAAGAAAGGAGTATGTAGTGAGACATTAGTTCCGAGTTTAATTTGTTCACTAATCATGATTAAGTTTCTGCTTTTCTTTCTTTTGAAGCAGGGATATTTGATTTCTTCTTTCTCTCTTCCTGAAAGTATGCAATTAAGATCATGTGCAAAGATCACTACCATATGAAAAAACTAAAATTACCAGCCTTGCATTCTTATAAACTGGAGAACAAAGAGAGAGAAAAATTAAGGAGAAACAATGTGGCAGTCATTAAACAATGCGATTTATCAGTCTGCAGCTTCCTTTCCCAGCAGCCCACAATCATCATTCATTATGGGACCAAGATACCCATCTTTATGAAGAAAGAACATCCTCTTTGAAAGGAAAATAAAATTAAAAGTATCTTGTGTGTGGCTTTGTATTCATTATTCACAGAATCAAAAGAAAATTAAAGCACGAGCGTTTTTTGTTTGTTTTTTGACGAGCTTTTATAGGTGTCAGAGTTATCATAGGAAAGCTAAAGCCTAAGGGTCCAGTTGATAAAACATCCAGGATAAGATTAGCAAAGTGAGGAAATCTGCAAGCCAAGAGACACCGCCTATATAACCCAACAGTGTCCTCAGATAGGGCTGGACTGGACGGACTACTTCCTCCCTTACATTAACCAGAAGTTACTGCTTTACTCTTACATTGTTGAACGCCAAATTTCAGCACCTCTCTTTGTTGCTGCTCAAAACCAAACTGCCATTTAGTTGCCTAATAATCTAAAAGGAGAAGGCAAAAGTTGATGCTATGAGAAAACACATTCTTTTCTAAATCGTTATTCATTGCTTTACCCCAGAAAACCAAATGGAAAGGTACAAGGGAAAGTACATTACTTTGAGTATGATTGTAAATTCTAATGATGACACCAATTATAATGATATGAAAATCTGATATAAAATATGGAGCATTTTTAGTTTAATGAGTTTTAATTACCTGAACCCATCTAAACCCATAGCACAAAGACAGTACAGAATGAAATAAAGAGCAGCATTCTGTCCTACATTTAAATCTGAAGGAGTAAAGCTCAGAGAAAGACTATTTCAAATCTAGTTTCTTCTTTTTTTATTTATTTGAGGGTAGGTACAAAACTATCACTACAAAATCATAGAAACTTTTATTAAGGAGCAACAAAACCCAAATGTGATGCTCTTGTTTCTGAACATATCCTGAATCTCGGTCTAATATTTCTGAAGGTTAGAGTTCCATGTTTCCAATCCCTCCACTAAGAATTCTACGTTCTTCTGTTTGTAAATAAGACAACAGTCGTGGCATACTTGAGGGACTAAAATCGTGTTTCCTTTAAAGGTTTGGGGATACGAAAGAAATCTGAAAGGGCAAGATGTAGGCTGTAGGGAAATTGGGTAACATTTCTCAGCAAGATAGTCATAGTAGCCCTTGAAGAATGAATGGAAGCATTGCTATGATGCAAAAAACAAACAAAATCCTGGCCACAACTTTCCTTAATTTTTTACTCAGCAATATTTTAAATGTCTTTATAATAAACCCGTGGTGGCTGTCCTGTTACCTTCAGGAATATAAATCAAGATTACACTTTGGGGACTATCAAACACTGTTGCCATAACCCGCTCTATCTTGAATGTAACTGGCCCAGCAGATCCCCTGAGAAGTTCCTCTTTTGATTGGATGTTTTGACAAACCCTGGTATGTAAAGGGTTAT